GATAAAGATTACCAGAAATACAGGCATATGAGACACAATTAAGGCCAGCTACATCCTCAGCCCTGTCATCACATTTCATTTCATCAATTAGATATGTCACTAGTTCTACAACACCACTAGCACAGGCATAATGAACTGGTGTTGTATTACCATCATGAGTAGAATGTAATAAACTAGAAAATTGTGGATAATTATCAATAATATATTTAATAAATGGATAGTGACCAGCAGCTGCAGCTGTATGGAATATATTCTCATTGTCCCCATCGCTTTCATCCAAATCACAGCTGCAATCATTGACTAAATACTCCAAGACATCAATAACACCAACATTAGCTGCATAATGAACTGCAGGTGTACCATCCTCATTTTGAACATGAGGATCTAGCTTGTATTTATTAATTAATAATTTAACTAAAGGCAGCTTTGTACTATTGATAGCTTTTATTAAAGACTCTGGTGTGAGAAGCAAGTGATGATTCTCAATGAGGTATTGGACCAGCTGCATATTACCACTTCGAATGCTGCAACCATCTTCATCTAAATTAATCCCACTGCCTTGTACTTCACATAGATATTGACTCAACTCAAGGTTACCATGGCTACATGAATAATGAAGAGGTGTTTTACCCTCATTACAGGTTATATTAATATCAATGTCAGTAGTATTCATAATATATTCTACTGCAATGATACTACCTGACATACAAGCTAATGCTAATGGTACTACACCTTTGTAGTCTGGTTGACTGGCATTCAACCTATACTCAGATACAGTATAACTGAGTAGAGTAGGTGAACCTGATAAAGCAGCATAATGTACTGCAGACCGACCCTCATAATCTAATGAACTTGTATTAATACCATACTCCTCTAATACCTTCACTAATAATATACTACCACTAGTACATGCTAAATGAACCAATGATTGACCAGTAGCAGTAATAGAATTTATATTGAAATTATTAATAATGCTTGTCTTCTTGAGGAGTGTAGACAAAAGGCTCACTCTTTTATGCTGTTTAGTAACATTTATATTTAGTGATATATATTTATGCCATTCTTTCTTGTATTCTACCTTAAATGTAGCAATTTGGCTGACTAAAGGTATATCACATGGTGCAGTGAGCTTATTATACACTTCTGTAATGCAGTATTTATCAACCAATCCACTGCATAAGTAATGAAGAGAAGAACGATCACTATAATCAGCTTCTAGTAATACTTTATATCCAAAAATATTAACCATTTTCATAATGAAACCTGATGAAGCATACTGGCATGCTATATGAAGTGGAGTTGCACCAAAACAATCTCTTTTTTTAAATAATTCACTTTTATGATTATTATAAAGATACACTAGAAGCTCTACACTATCACTCATAGCACAATAATGTATTATTCCACATCCATTAAAATCTATGTCATCTTCTGAGAAAATACCAAACTGCTTAAGCTGATTAACTAATGCTACCTGTCCACTCTTACATGCTAATAATGATAAAGTAGATCCTTCTCTATTGACCTGAGACACGTTACACTTCTTCTTTAAAAACATAATCACGAGGTCAACGTGACCACCCAGTGCTGAGTAAAGCAATCCCGTGTTACCAGAGCTATCTGCTATGTCTGGATCAACGTGACATTCATTAACTAGATACTGTGCAATATTGAGATGGCCTTTATATGAGGCCATGTGTAAACTAATAACACCATCATCATCACCTTGTGAAGGATCGCAATGATAAACATCAATGAGGAGCTTGAGAACATCAAAATGGCCACCATATGAAGCAGCTAATGGTGAATTCCATCCATTTGTACCTCTTTCTTGAGAGCCAGATTCATCCATTAACCATTGTACTTCATCTTTTAATCCTCTCCAACATGCTTCAATGAGTGGAGTGCTGGTATTCTCATACCATAAAGGATCATTAATATCTGAACAAAATGATAACATAACACAGTTGATTATTGTATGTTCAATTACCAATAGCAAAGTGAGAGAGCTTCTTTAACTCATTCTCTGGTAACTGATTAAAAAATAGTCAACACATTTTTACCTTAAAAAATCTCATTACTTACCTGTTTCATTTCTTGTACATGTTCATTACAGCTCAATTTAATAATACCAATCTCAGCCAATGAATGACACTGTTGATTGGTAGGTGGAAAAAGAATTGAATATAAAAAAACAGGAATGGAGTATTTTAACTCCATGCAACCCTCATCAATTTCACAAAAATAAAATTTGTATTCTGAAACTTTAAGTGCCTCAGCAATTGCTTTATGAAAGAAGTATAAATCATTTAAAGTGTAATCATCATTGGCAACTTTTGCTATCATGACTTGAGTACCAGGAGCATCTAATACACCAAACTCAACACCATTAACGACTTTAACTGCTTGATTATTGTTATTTTTAAAATAATCTTTCAGTAAATCAGAATAAGTTGACCAAATTCGCTGCACTTCTCTATCTGCTATGAAAACTTGGGCCAATAGGACAATGAAATCAAAGTTAAACCAGGAGACATGCTTCTCTAGTACTCTGAATAACTGATTCATTGATTTAACTTTGTCGTACTCTTCTCGTAATTTATCAATAAACTGCTGCTTACGAAAACGTGGATTCAGTAGATTGATGATGTGACACTGAATATAATCGATTACTTTAGGAAGGGTATTTCTTTCAAGGGAGATAAATGCTTCTTTGGTTTTATACATGTTAGAAGCATATAACTTTTGTAGCTCATCAATCTGCTTCAATACGTCATTAACAGGAAACTCTTTTGATTTTCCACTAGCATATGTAGCTTTAGTATCAGGTGAAGTAAGAGGTGCCTGTAGTTCTCTAGTTGGGGTAACTTCTATAAAATAAAAAATTGATGTAAATATAAACTTTTATAATCATTATAATACCTCTAGAAGATGGGTTAGTGTCCACCGGTGACAAAGGTTGCTTCTCGCTACTTATAGGATATTTCTTTGCTATTTCATCAGCTAAGGCAGGGTTTGCTCCTCCACTCTCACTTCTAATGCAATTGCAGAGCCTTTGTAATGTAGGAACACCACGATTTTGATAATCATAGTCCTTTCTTAACCAACACTCAAAAACTTTTCTGAGACATGTTTCTGGTGGTTTACCCGCTGCTTCAATGCCATCTAATTTATTAGGACTGAGACCCAATATAACTCCAATGGAGTCCCAGCGTCCAGAAAGAACACCTGCCTTTTCCCAAACCAAATACAAATGATTGATGTCTATAAAAGACAAT